CCAATTTCCAGGACAAGACCGCACTTGCTAGGAACAGTGGAGTAAGGGCCAAAATAACGGCTGTAAGGAAACCATACGGGTCCTTTGCAGCCCATTCCACTACATATTCCGCCCAAGCCTTGACATCAAACATCTCGGTAGTGGTCCTAAGAAAACTTATGCTTGAGCAGCGACCTCTAACTGTCCCGGAGCCAGTCAACTTCAGATGATCCCTGGCTGGCAGTTGTCTTCTTTGGCTTGAAGGCGCGCTCTTCAGAAGTTCACATTCCCTTCTTCCCCCGACAGCGCGGCAGCGCAGGAGCCTCGCGCACCCCTGGCCCCGGATCCCCGGGGTGCTCAGCGCCGGCCGCGCGGGCCTCCCGGGACACAGCCCCCCGACTTCACGCCCCGAACCCCTCTCCGCACTCCGGGTATTTACTTTATAGTAACTCATAAAGCTACATTCTTATAATTTGTGTAGCTTATGCATGTTGTAGTTCAATGTAAAGTTTATAAAAATCAGAGTGACTAAAGAGGTTAAACAAAAATTTAATAATTGAGCTGAACTGGGAGGGAAGAGGGAGTGAAGGGTAAGACAAAAACAGGAAATGAGAGGGAGTCCTACAAAGTTTACGGTTTTCTGAGGTTAACTAGCAGATTACCCACTGTTCACAGCCGGGTCTTCAGCGGGCTCTTATTCATGGGACTTTCAGCAGACTGACATTTTCTGGAGGACAAGATGGAGACAGCCTTACAGATGGATTCTAAGTCATGGACTACGATTCCCATCTGACTTAAGATGATTTATGATGGGACATTTGCATGATGACCAATATTTTAATACAGAGATAGAACCAAATAGTGGTAATCACAGGTAGGGTGGGAAGGTAGGTCAAAGGAATACAAATAGACATGCAAAATGAACAAATCTAGAAATCTAATGTATAACATCACTAAAATTAATAAAATTGTGTTATATTAAGGATTAAGATCCTGGCTGCTCATGTCACAAAAGTACTACGTGACAGCTGTTAATCTGCTTCATTACAGTAACCATTTTACTATCTATATGTATCATATCACATTGGAAGTCTCAAATATGTATAAAACTTTTTTGAAAAGACTTGGATACTCACTATCCTTTATCAGGCACACATTTCATGTGGAGTGATCTGTAAAGTTTTACCCAACAAGTACATTGAATGAAAGATAATATTTAAATAAGATTTATCATTTTCTAAAGATAACATTCATATCGTTTCATTCTTCCAGAAGTATTATTCTAGCACAAAGTACAGCACTAAAATTAAAGCTTAACTACAGTTAATTAAACAAGCTCAGAAGTCAGTTGTATTTGCTTTCTTCTCTCCTTGCTATATATTTATTTTCAAACTTTTACTGAAAACCCGAGGGCTGTGATTTTTCAGCAAAGCCACTTACATGAGTAGGGGTTGTGGCCTCTGCATCCCACCTGAACTGAGGACATTCTCTTCTCGAACTTAAGTTCCCCAGAGTACACAATGGCTTGGAATTGGGTCAATCCCTTAGTGCCAATGTCTTAGCCAGAGTACTGGGTGCCAGCAATAGTCAAGTAGGGAACACACTGGTAGATGGACCCTTTGGAGTTTCTCAGCTCCATTGAACTACTGGCACTGACTGCTGAGATGCTTGTTCATGTCATCAAGAGAAAACATGCTGCTATATTTCTTTAGTTAGAGTCTATTGAGGGAGCCCACTATTACTGTAGAGGTCCACATGGCCAAGATTTTGGCAGTACAATTCACATTTTGGATTCCTCCATCAGGAATACCAAATCTGTGGGTACGCTGGTACCTTCTTGTACATTGCCATTGCTTGGGACGACCTGCAGGCCAATATTCCCTGGGTGATGCAGACGGAGCAGCTTCTCATGCCCCACCGCAGGCCAGCCACACCTGTGTCAGTGAGGTTCTTGGCCTGAGCTGTGGTAACTACACTGGCTCCAACAACTTGGAGATTAGGGTATTTCTCTTTGATGTACTTGGCCATAATAATCAGGAACATAGAGTTGTCCTGGAAAGAGTCTAAGACCACTGCATCCACATCACACTGGGCTAACAAGTGTAGTTTATACTTACTCTGAATGCCACTGGTCGCCCACATAGCAGCTGCTTTTCAGCAGCTTTGGGGACCAATGTGTGATCCCAGTACTTGTTCAGGTCTGCCTGGGCAATGGCAGCCACCAGCTCTTCATTTTCATTTACAATGGGCAACTTTCCCTTCTTGCTGTGCTGCGAAATTACTGTGATGCCTGTAGAGGCTATCACCAAGTATATCTTTTCCTCTTGTCATGCAAAACCCAGCCATGCTCTTTCTCCTTGAGAAAATCTGTATCCTTCAAGGAGATGATGTCTACTAAGCAACTCATCTGGCCTGTATCTGTGGCGAGGATACTACAGAAGCCACACTGGGCCTTAGCCTCAAAAACACCCCATATACAATTCTTAGGGCTGAGAACCATAGGATACATGATGAACCCTTGCTCATATTTCACTTTACTTTGTTGGCTTGGAATTTAAGTGTACAGTTGTGGAGGGTAAAAGCAGTACCTTCTGTAAGCATCACTCCAACAGTGATGCCAGCCTCTGTGACCCTGCTGGGAGAGGAAACCAATAGGGTCTTCAGTGTGATGTTGGTCAAAGAAGTCAGGTCCCCCCAGTCTGCAGTAGTGTCACTGTACTCAGGAAGAGGAGGCCATCGCCACAATTTTAAAGCTGCCATGCCATGAATCAGTCATCTGGCGTGTAGGATGTGCCCCTGCTTATCAGGTAGCTGGCCGAGGCTAAAGCAGACCAGCAGTGCTACAGATTTCATCACTGCGCCACACACCCTGTTGATGAGAGAGTACAAGACATAAGCAGCATATTACAGCAGAGAGGGTGCTGGCTGGGTGGGCCTATTTTTAATAGGTACTGGAAATGGGTATGATTCAGTGTTCTTTTATGTTAATCTTTTTGCTCCGAATGCCTTCAGGGCAGGTTTGGCTGGCATGAGTTGTGGGGATCAAACCACCGCAACCTGAGGCTGCTTTGTTGAAGCAGCCTCTTAAAGAACTGAGCTAAGGGGCAGCCCCCCCCCTTTATGTTAATCTTATCTCGAACCTATTTGAAGTTATCACACACATGGTTATGGTCTTAGTACACTGAGATAGTTCTTATGTTCATTAGTCTTTCTGTTGCTTCATATTAAAACACATGAACTCCTTGGAGATCAATTGCATGGTGCCAAGTGGTTCTAAAACCCTGAGTAAACAGTGACTAAGGTTGACACTTTATGATATTTACTAATTCACTATATACATCTTTACCCTAGTTCATTATCTGCTTCAACTCCAATGAGTCATACTGCAACTAAATTCATGCATACATTCTAAGGCTGAAAAAAATTCAGGAATATGACTTTGGGAGGCGAATCTCCCAAAAATGATCCTTCCCGATACTAACTTAAACACACTACATCACACATCCTAGTCCACCCAGGACAGTCCCATTTTATGTTCATTAACCCAGCTATTAATAGTGCCCCTTTCAAACTCAAAAGTGGTCCTGGTTTGGACTATAAAAGATATGGCCGACTTAATTATGTCATCAAACTTAAAGACATCTTATTAAAGAAATATTCAAAATGAAAAGGTTCTTTGAATCTGTGGAACAAAAATTTAGCAATTCCTACTTTCTACAGGGGGAAGTAGACAGATTTTAAGCTAGAATCACTTAATAGGGAACCTTGCACAAGCTGTATGATGTCCCTTCGCTTTGGTTTACTCACCTGTAAAGGTGGTGATAAAAACAGCAGTTAGTGAACAGAAAAGTAGGGCCAGGGAGATGGCTCAGTGGAATAAGCGCTTCCCTGGCAAGTGCAAGGGCCTGAGTTCATTCCCCAGTTCCGCAAAAAAAAAAAAAAAAAAAAAAAAAAAAAAAAGCACTAAACACCATGCTTTTCAAAACTTCAGTACTATACACAATAAGTATCTCCAGAACACTAGTTTTCACCTTCGTGCTTAACTGTAGAGTATGTCTTCCTCTCAAAAGTAAAACTCCAGGAGGCACTTCAAGATACAAAACCACTATTGTGCAAAATTTTTTAGGATACTATAAAATGTTTAAATTGATGATGTCTCTATTTACCAAAGACTAAGGTAATTTCAAATCTGAGGCTCCCAGAAAAGCCAAACAGATTCATCTCAAATTTAATGTATTTCCCCACTATAGTAACTAGGCTGCAACTTCACTGACGGAGCACTGGCGAATGGTACCAACAACCTTAGGGCAACTAAAAGGGATGTTCGTAATCCTCACCTTTGCAGTAAAATATAGCTATTTTTTCAAAAGCTGTATGTAGCCTAACAGCTTAGGCTAATTTAGACTACTTCTTTGCTTTATGCCTTTTATGTGCAGACATTCCCTATCAGGTGCTTGCTTCACCTTTCTCCCCACATCACAGTGCTTGTATGATCTTACCTGTTTTACCTATCACCTCAGTTGACATGGCCAGATACATGCTGCTGGGTCAGGTCATTCCTAATTCCAAAGCAACTTATCTGCTACTTCAACAAATGAAATGCCGCAAAAGCACTTCATTACTTTTTCTTCATATATATGTCCTATTCTGGTTGTAAGCACCCTCTTATCTAACTACAGGACATCTAATGAATCTAGCAAATTTATCTTCCAAATTTGTGCTTTTATTTTCATTCTCACAGTATCTGAAAGCACAAGCCCAAACCATCTCTTTCTTGGAGTTCTGTGCATTAAAAATATGCTAGGAGTACAGTGGTACCTTAGTTCACCAACTTTCCATGATTCTGGTTACAAACAGAACTGGATGATAACCACATCAAATTCAAAGGTTAGGCTCAATGTTGAACTTATGGAGAAATCTGATTAGGTTCTCATCCAATCCAGTTTGAAACCAGAAACATGGAAATTAGTTCACAAACCAAGCTACCACTATAATGTAGCAGACAAATACAATGGTTAAGAGGCAGGAAGATTATGGCAAGTTCAAAGGTTCTTTTGCTTAAATCTAATGGGAAGATTCCATATTAACTACAGAGTAAAATCTAACATGTTATAGCAGGGACAGCTTTCCAACACTGGTCCTTCCTACCTCTCCAATTGTTGAGTGAAACAACTTGATGTTCTCAAATACCCTTGCTGTCAGTTGTGATGATGCACTTCCTGCTAAAATTCAAGCCCCAACATCATTCACCCTTTCTAGGTTTTGCAACATATATTTATACAAATTGCCCATCTTAAATGTGTGTATGGAGTGTAGAAAGCAGGGATCACATTCATATTCAGCATAAATGTAGACTAAATGAAAACACACATACGTATCTTTTCATAACTAGGCTCTATGAAACAGATGATCCACTTAAGTTAAATTCTGTGATACTACATCTCAGTTGGCCAATAACTAGTATGTTCTGAAGGACTGACCTGTCAATTTATTACTTTGGAAAAGTGAGTTGGGTTTTATTATAAAATGTAGAAGCCAAAAATTTTTAATTAGCTTAAATAACAGGTTAAGCAAGTTAAATTGCTATACTAATGCTAAGAGTTTCTGGTGTTAATGAGAAAAGAATATTATTTAGTTACCACTTTCTGGATCAGATCTGCTTTTGCATGCGTTGTGGGATTAGCTCCTTCCTCTGAACACAGTGTGTGCTGAGACAAACTTGTTTCATTATTAAATCATGTGGATAGTGTGCCTTAATGAGACTTACCTACTCTATTGAAATAAAAATTTATATCGTCTAAAACCTGACCCAAAAAGTACTTAATATAGATAGCACTTTATGCCATCTAATTATATTTCAGAGTAATGATTTCTATTTCTATCCCTCTGTCTATTCAAAGACTAAGCTTCTGAATTAACTGTTATTCTTGACATATCATCTAAGTACGCATTATACAAAATTTCTTAAATGTCACATAGCATATTCATCTTGATAATAAACTATTATAACAAAAACACAGAAGATACTGTGTCAAGTAGGAACCAGAATAAATTTAAAAATATTTAGGTACAACCTTCCTTCTTGATGGCTGGCTTGAAACTTTTATCTACAAAAATTTTTTGTCTTCAGTTCGTCTATGCTACATGACTTCTGGGTAGATTTTTATGAGAAAACCATTTAGAAATGTTCATTTCATGGTTAAACACCCTGAGTAGCACTTTAGAGAAGCACTTACTCTATAACTAAAATAGACTTAGAATTATTTCCTCATGAAATTATAAATAAATGAGGTTACTGCTGCTAATAGATATTCAATATTTGTGAAAATTACTAAATAAAACATTTATTTAGTTAAGACATGAATGTTTTCAGCCTTCAAATTGTTTCTAGGAGAACACCACACTCCAAAACTATGTAAAAGGGTATTTGATTAATGCAATTAGCATAGCATTCTACTATACACCGGATTAAAAATTCTCTTTAGTCATACATTAAAAAGAAACCTTCATTTACAATAGTTTCTACTAATGCTTGCTGGAAAATTTATGGAAGAACTCTTATAAAATGAGATTATGTGCCAAATGCTTCAGAAAATGGAGGAGCAAATGTAAAGTGCTATTATTATAAAAGGAAGTACTATTGTTAAGTAGCAGTGATTTGACTGTTAATAAATCTTGCTATATTTTCCTGAGGGATATGGAATTTGAGACCCTCCCGACCCATAAAATCATCCAAGCAGGAAAGCATGAAATTTCAAAACTGCCTACCATTAAAATATAAGTCTCTCAATTTATTTGCATTCTAAAATAGAGCCCTCTGTCCTGGAATTCCTTTTCCATATAAAATGCTTCTAAAGTGATGTACAGGATATCAAGCCAATATAACATTTCCTTTAAAATCTTAAATTCAGTTACTATTTGTTTTCTATTACACTATGTTTTGGCAGCAATTGTTTATTGGTCTGTCATTGCAGTAATTGCAACTTAACAATAAACCAGTCTGACATTTTAGGTCTTGAATATACATACCATATATATTTCTTTAAAAATAATCATACTTTTGTAAGCAATACTTTACAGTAGACACCTCAAAAATCTACCATAGATGTGAAACTTAAAACGAGAAAAATTTAAGTTCTAAATCTTTATACATATATCCAGATTTCTATATATATTATATATACATACATAAGTATATATAAAATATATATAATCAGACTTGAAAAATGAACAAAAACTGAGTACTGTACATAAATTCTTTTTAAAACTCAAAACAATAGAAAACTCTTTAAACATTAAACAATTTTAATAAAAGTTTCTGTACAATGCTAAGCAGTTTTATTTACACATAGAAAATGTAATAGGAGTAGTGTTTGAAATTACAGAACTCCTTAAAATTTCAATGGCAGGTAAATCTGGAAAAAATAACAGCATTCCATTCACAAATATTTTCAAGCAATAAATATGTATTTATAAATAGTGTAAATTTACATCAAGATTAGAAACAAAAATCACAAATCTGAAGTTTATTCCTTAGTCTATGTGCAATCCATTATCTTTGTGACTTGGCTGTTAATTTTTTTAATGTTTTATTTAGGAACCAAAAGTGTAGCCATCATGGTTTCAAAACAAGACAGAAAAACATAAAAGCAGTAAAAAAGTTTCTTACCTAAATTTCACATTAAAAAAAAAAAAAAAAAAAAAAAGTTGACCAAAGAAAGACTTAAAATTGCTAACTACCTTACAAAGAAATGACCAGCTAGGCTAGTATTTTTTCCAAGGAAAATTCTGAAGGGGAAAAACATGAAAACAAATTCATCAGCCCAGAAATAGAGAAATATAAAAGAGGTTGTCTTCAAGTCAGTAGTCTGTTTGATGTTGCCAGTTTTGTCAGATATATACAAAACATGGAAATTATTATTTTTTTTCTCTGAAGTTCAACTGATTAGCGTTGTGAGAGTCCTGGAGCAGGAGTGGTACTCTCCCCCGCCCAGCTGGTTGACACTCCGTACTTAGAAGGTTGCATAGACACAGTTTTCAGCCAGCAGCCTTAGCAGATAGCCACAAGAACCAGTGGTGCACAGCTGGGTTACTTCCTGAATCGCAGAAACGGTCTCATGTGCAAAGTCCATGGAACTCTATCAAGATGAGGCGGATGGTAATGGAGGGGCCTGAAAATAAAGGTAGGTTATTTTGGCATACAAATGGCTAAGTGTTGCCTAATGAATGGCTACAAATATAGTCTGTTTATGAAGTCGGAGGAAAGAGCTCTCAAGAACGTTCAACAGCCTGGTGCAACACAATGCAGAAGTACAACATTCTCTACCATTTCCCTCCCACCTGGCCACCATTACTAGCACCATTACTTAGCACACCAGCAGCTCTCTGTACTTCAGAAACTAGTCAGAAACTCTTGGAACATTAGTTTATCATTTTGTTTTCTTTTAAAGATTGCCTTAAAAGGACTTTTAGAAAAATAATTTAGCAAACCAATTATAATTTCACTAGTGATCACTTTCAGCATCTATCTCAAGTTAGTAATATATTCTGCTCAACATATTCCAGACAACTTTCGTCTTCAAACAATTTTGAAGACCATTCAAGTGAAAATATCAGGAGCTAAATTTCAGTTTCTGTTCACATATGTGTGACGGCAAAGTATTGGAGGAAATCAACATTTCATAAATTATGACTTTTTCTTATCCATAAAGCTATTGATCTGGTAGAATAACATGCTTTCTCTTAAGCATCTGCTGTTTTAAATTAAAAACTCTGTGCAATGAACAAGTAACTTGAATTTCATAAAGTTATATAACATACCAAGAAGTTAAACTCTGTCAAATATTCTCATGAAGTTAATACTTCCGGCAAGTTCAAAATTTAAAAAAATACAATTAAAAGCAGAAGTATATTTTAAAATCACACTTATGATTCATTATGCAGGAATAACCTACATATACATTCTATCAACTGAGATCAAATGGCATAAAATATATAATAGTGTTCTAAAGCAAATAAATATCAAACAGTAGCTCTCTAACATTATTTCGGTTGGTCTCAAGAAAAGTGAACATGATACATGCCTATTTCATAGGAATAAGTATTTGAAAGTGATGGAAGAGGAAATGGTATGAATACACCTTTATGTAGTAGCTAACAAGCCAAGAGAAATTTTCAATGTTTTTATTACCTCCTACTTAGCAGGTGACAGAAGCAGACACTGCTGCCTCTCAACCCAGCTAACCATACTCACATGTTGAGTTTACTTACTAATGTAAATTGGTCATAGACTTGCATCAAATCCTCCATTTTGTACTGTTCTAGCACCACAAAATTTTCCAGGTTTCCACTTGTTTTTCGTGCACAATCTTGGCAATGTACTATGTAGGTCTTTCGAGAATTACTCTCATTAGTGACAAAAAGCAGGTCAAAAACCTCCACCTATTTTATACAAAAGAAAAATGCATTTAAAGAGATGGTAATATTTACTATATACTGCTTTAGTACAATCATTGAATTCTATTTAAATGAAATTATGGATAGTTATCTCTGGTTAAGAGTAGGCATGGAAGCCAGGTGTGATGGTGCATGCCTGTAATCCCAGCCCTCAGGAGGCTGAAGCAAGAGGATCTGACAAGATCCTCTTAAAGAGTTCAAGACCAGCCTGGGTTACAAAGTGAGTTCAAGGCAGCCTGAACTGCATAGTGAAACCCTATCACATATGCATGTGTGCACATACATGCATGCGCGCACGTGTGCACACACACACACACACACCACACAAAGGCACTAAAGAAAAAACATGAATGTGTTTAAGAATGTTTTATGTTGTACCAAAACCAAAGACATGGTGCTAATGTATATTTAGTGGAGTGGCCTAAGGGAATAAGATACACATGACAACCTCTGGCAAAGCCTAATCAATTCTGACAAAGTTTACCTTATTTCTGTTTTAAATCCAAAAATTAGCATTCCATCAGATATAAGTGACCATTATTTTCCTTTTCTTTATGTATGACAGTACTCATCACAGGGTACTATATATGGATGCTTGTCTTCCCTCACACACTGGGATCTTCACAGACTTCTATTTGAATTTCTAGAGGATGTCAGTATCTAGTGCTTAGCCAAACTTCAAAACACACTTGTAATGTGACATAATTTAACTATTTTAAAGATCCAAAAAGGTAAGAAAAGGTTACGGACAAGTAACAGTGAATATTTAGCTATAAACTTAATTTTACAGAATATTAAGTACAAACAAAAAATACTATTGAGTTGGGTCTGGTAGAGTACAACTATAATCTCAACACCTGGGAGGGTGAAGCAGGACTTCAGTGAATTTAAGGTCAGCCTGGGCTACGTAGTGAGTTCAAGGCCAGGCTGAACTACAAAGGGAGATCCTGCCAAAATTAAAAAAAAAAAAGAAGAAAAAAAAAAAAGCCAAGTGTGGTGTGGTGCATGCCTGTAATTCCAGCACTTGGGAGGCTGAGGCAGAGGAACATCGTGAATTCTAGGCCAGGCTGGACTGCTTAATGAGACCTGATCCCCGCCCCCCCCCCCCAACAAAACAACAAAAAGTCTGATTTATGAAAAGCTCATATCTTCAAAATAAAATAATTTTTTTTAAAAATAGCTCATAATAAAAATTGATAACATTTTGTAAACAAAAATTTAAATGATAAACACTTTGTAAGTAAACAGAAAAAAAAAGCAAAAGAAAAGAGAATGAAGGTCAGGGGAGATGGTTCAGTAGAACAAGCACTTCCCTAGCGAGCGAGTGAGCCAGCAAGTGAGCAAGGGAGAAAGAGAGTGAGCGAGAGAGTGAGGGAGAAAGAGAGCAAGAGAGAGAGCGAGGGAGAAAGAGCAAGCGAGCACGAGTGAGCGAGAGCAAGCGAGAGCGAGAATGAAAGTATATTAATGAGCATCAGCTGAATAGAGATCTTATTTTAGAAATAATACCGCTAGTCTTATATAGTGCAACTGAATTGAGTGACAGTTTTGCTTAGGGTAAAGAACAGTTTCATGGGGTAGGAATCAAACTCAAATATAGCAAAACTTAAGACATTTATTTTTCTAAGGTATAAATACACCTATTTCCTAATGACTTACTTTGGCCAGTCATGCAACATTAAAATGGCCTATGAATTAAATTTCAAATAAAGGCCAACACTAAAATTGTAAAATTTTAAAGTTGGCTTAGCCTTAAATTTCTTCAATGACAGAAATTCTCACGAATTCCTCTCTTGAAGTCCCAGAATTATATCCCTATTACTATCAATGGGTAGCAGCATGAACCTAGTGATCTGAGGTAGAAAATCTGGGAACATACTTTAATCTGTCCCTTATTTCTGCCACTTAGTGAGTTGTTTTGCTGGTTTTACCTTCTAATTTAAAAAAAAAAATTCTTCTCCTCCTTCAATATTTTCGCTCCCAGGTTCTACACAACTCATAAGATCAGTGCATAGTTCACTACTTCAGCTCTTTCCAACCAATTTTTTTCTCTGAACTACACATCTGTTACCTGCTTATATATTCTGATGGTTTCAGTGACTTCAAAATAAATGCCCAATTTCTTAAAAGCACTAATGATCCCCTGCATGCTGTACACCAGCCACATTGGACTACTCACCCTTTTCTAAAAGTGTTTCACTTCCCTACTCGCACACTCTTCCTAAAGCCCAGGAAATCTACCTCTAAACCATTTTCTAGCCCACTGAAATCATAGTCATCCTTCAGGGATGGCTATAAGGCTAAAACTTTATGAGCTCTTATGCTGGTATCAGAAAGGAACATTTAGATAATTTTTTTCTTGGTGTTTTCATAACAATAAATCCAACTCATTCATCCACGCTTCATGTATATTCTAATCAGTTGTTTATATTGGTCTTCTCCCAGGAGAATTTAAGCTCCTTCAGGGTAGGAGCATCTTTTTTGTTCCTGTTCCTCTTACAACTCTTGGCTGCAGAAGACTGACAAATGTACTGTGAACGGCACCAGAGAGAACTGAATTATCCATATGGACAGACCTGAAGTAAACTATACCTGCCTAGTTTACTGGCATTTGTCTATATCTAAATTGTTCCTCAATCTAAATCCTCAGACTAAAACTTCTTGATGATTATCATGTATTAAAGATCTACCAGATAAATGACTGTGTAGGAGATAATTTTATGGTTGACAGTTAATAAAATGCTACATCACATTAACTTATAACAATACCCAAGAATAAATGAACACAGTTCCTATCACAGAAAAAGATTACATACAAGTATAAATATATTTTAAAAAGCAAACTAAAGAGAAATCAAAAATGGAAAGGGAAGAGGCTTTTTACAAAAGAACTATGGATAAGAACAGTTACTTGGGGCCAGGGAGATAGCTCAGTGGCATAAGCGCCTGCCTGGCAAGTACAAGGTCCTGAGTTCAATGCCTGGTTAAAAAAAAAAAAAGTTACTTACCTCACAAATGCTACAGTAGTGAGCTGGTTCTTCTTTTGTCCGCCCATGCCATATAATTTCTTTTCCTGCAGCAATGAGAGCTTCTCTCAATGTCTGACATTGCTTCAGAGTTCTCAGAAGACAATACCTATTGTAGGGGGGAAAAATTATTTATTTATTTATTTTTAATATTTATTTATTTATTTATTTTGTGTGTGGCCAGCTCAGCCCACCAGGGGGCGGGCAGGCTGACAGACATGTGGTGCTGGGGGATTGAACCGAGGTCCCTGTGCTTTGCTTGGCTTAGCTTGTTCTAAGTAGGTGCTTTAGACCACTGAACCATCTCACCAGCCCGAAAAAAATTATTTATGACCAGCAACTGAATATTGAATTTTTTTAGCATAACAGATACATGAATTAGAAATACTGCCAAGAGGCAAAAAAGAAATAATGAAAAGACAGTTCTAATATCTATGACCTCATAATTTTTTTTGGTCAATTTCTCAGATATTTTCAGATTTAAAAAGGCAAAACCCAGCAGGTCTAATAATGACAATACTAAATCATTAGAGATGAGAATAAGTGAATCTGAATATCAAAATATAAAGGACTTAATACATAAAAACAGACCCACTGCTTAAAATATTAGTAATTTTGGTTATTTGGGCAAGTTAGTTAACTTCTCTAGGAGTCAATTTCCTCATCTTTCAAGTAAGGACTGTGAATTCCAGATGTGAGCAGCTATGCTTCTAGTGAGGCAGAAAAAAGGGCACACTTTTTCTGTCAACACTCCTGAGACATTCAGCAAAACCATCTGTGTGGCTGCTTTTGAAACTGTTAAATCCGTAAGTGCAAAATAATTTATGGATTTAGTCACTACAGAAAACCTAACTGGTTTAACTACAGTGCTACAGAGGAAGACATTTATTTCTTCATTTTAACTTGAATATTGTGGAATCCATTTATATGAACACAACTAAACTTTTAAAATAATATATACCTTTACTAAACTCACACTTGGGATGCTAGCACAGTAAACTTTGCTCTGCTTTTTCTGTAGTTTTCTCATGTTACAATTATTTGCTAAATTTTCTCATTCTCCTGTGAATATTAATGCTGAGTATTTCCATTTTAATAGGGAGGCTGGACATGATGATCTCTATGGCACTTTTCAACTTTAAAATACAGAGAAAACGAAAATACCCAGGAAACAAAGGGAAATGGATTTAGCAATTGAGTATTGTCATGAAAGTAAATGTTCTATTATATTCTTTTTTTAAAAATGTATTTGGTTATTACAGGGTCTCACTACGCAGCTCAGACTCATAGTGATCCTCTGTTTTCAAGCCTCCCCAGTGTGGGAATTACAGGTGTGCCACTATGCCTGGACTCTGTGGCTGGGTCAGCCCACCCTGGGGGCAGGGATGGCATGGCATCTGGTGCCAGGGATCAAACCGCAGTCCCACTTTAGTCCACTGAGCTATCTTGCCGGCCCCTATGTTATCTACTGCTGCCTAAGACAGTGTCTGGCATATAGGTAACTGTTCAATAAATAAACACTGGATTGCTAAACCACTAACATTTGGAGTTTCAGTAATAGCACATGAGCTGGGTGTGGTGGCACACACCTATAATCCTATCACTCAGGAGGCTGAGGTAGGAAGATCGCCATGAGTTTGAGGCCAACCTGGGATACCTAGTGAACTCAAAGGCAACCGTAAACTACATAGTAAGATCCTGTCTCAAAAATAGGATATTTTTCTTAATTTATAACTTCTTGCTATTATAAATTATTTAATTAAATTATTTTTATCTATCAAAACCCATGTATATTAACCTCCCCAGAAGGTGAAAACTAAAAATATATGTAAAACTTACTAACTTATTTAACAAGATACAGTGATATAGTTGCAAGCCAACTCCTTAAGTATCATATTCAAAAGAATTTGCTCTGAGTTTGGCTTCAGCAACTTTTACATGTTTAACTTATAAAAAAAAAATCAAAATAACATTTTAGACTGGATGCATGTGAAAGCTAAGGCAGCTACCTGAATGTGTACTTGAACAGCACATTTGTACAGAGTGCCAGTAGCTCTAGAAACAGCTCATAGCTAAGGGAATCTTCACAGTTCACTTCTGGAGGCATAGATTTTACTGGTTGTATTTTCCAAGCAGGACTTCAAAACAGTATTTTCCTTTTAAAAACATTTATCTCAAACACTGCAGATACTTTTGGAGGATTTGAAAATTTTACAGTACTGCCACATGGGCAGAAAAACAAAGTAATATAATAAAATAAAAACTAAATAATTTTTTGAAAGGAAGCAAACATTTGGCATCTATTTCACATATATTATGTCAGTTAAAAGCATTTATGGTAAGATCATATTTACCTTATAAATGTGAAGCAGGGGCCCAGAGA